AACGGACAGAGCTTCCGGGTCTGTGAAGTGACTTAAACTTGCATTCTATGAAATGGCGAGCAGGAGGCAACTCTATTGGCTGTATTAGAAACCGATACCATTCAGTCTTATAGACTTCGACTTCTCAGTTGATTTATGAGCTCAGTAAACAGTTTCCTGATGAGTTTATAGTCTCTGGTTTCGGTCTTCTTCCATACAGCATGATATTCATTTAGTAACTGATGGTCCAAGTTTGGCTGCTAGCATATTAAAGCAAAAGTATTTCTTATCCGATTACTTGATGAATCGATGGAATAATCGGTAGACCACCTGATTACTTCATTAACTGATAGCTGCAGCCCTAGCTGGATGTGATTTGAGAGCTGGAGTGAATATGATGTCATTACCTACTTTATTAAGTTGTTAGTAGCCTTCCTTATGGATATGTGAAAAGGCTAACGGGGGCAGACTGAATCAATGTTGAGCTGCTGTGTGCGGCTGAGCCACCTTACATCACTTCAAACATTTAGCGGATTTTCTTCCACAGACAGGAAAGCAAACGTCTCAGAAACCCGGCGCCAACGCAGACACCCAAAAACAAAAAAACGTGGAAATGAAACCCATTTTCTTCCTGGCCTAGATTTCACAGCGGAGAGACACTGAGTAACTGGGTCTTCTGAGGAAACACACAACCTCCTTTGAGGTGAAGGCAGTCTGACAGTGCTGTGCATCATGGGAGCCAGCAGGCACACAGCGAAGCATGAAAGAGGTAAAGACAGAGCCACTCAGCCGGTACGGAGAGCCTCCACAGAGCTGGGAGTCTGATTTCAGGACTGGAGCACGTCATCCAAGACTTTCCTCCTGATAAATCATCTGGCCTTGATAATGGCAACCAGTCCTGAGAGTTCCCATAAACCCAATGATGGACAGGATATGATGTAATTCAATCAATAGTTATCAGCATACTTCACAGTGAAAAAAAAACAGGATGACTGGAAGATAGCGGAGGCCACAGATACTGGATACTGCTTTTATGGCAGCTCAGAGCTGTTCCCTGGTTACTGGTGTTTGGTGCTGCCCCCTGTAAAGAAGATGAATCATCTGTCATTACTCTTTATTGCACGTCTTCACCCAGCTGTTTACAGTTAATGGAAGTTCCTATTGTCCATGTCAGTAGGTAACTGTGTATTTATGTCTGTAATTCTGCCTCCTGTACTGTTGAAAAATGGGACTCACACTCACATCATCATTCAGAACAATCTTCAGTCTTAACGTGAGAGTAGCGATCGTCAACATTGATTATTTTTAGTAGACTTGTGTAAAGATTTACACGAATCTGCCGATTGGTTTGTGTGTTCCTGGTCTATTTTTGACAGAGGCTGTGACCCACTCGCATCAAGCAGCACAGAGCAGATCACATTGGCAGGAAGTTGAACACAGAAACGGCATAGAGTATCCAGTCAATTTTCTAAATAAAATACTGCATGCAGACTCCAGATCATCATTGTGGCACCAGGCCAGAAGGCCAATAAAAAACTATTGAAAAACTTGTTGTAACGTAAGTAATATAATTGTTACTGTCGTAACTGTAATGTTATTATTGATTGACAATAATATGTTACATTACTGCATAGTGCGTAATGTGTTACACCCTAAGTGATGATCATCACCTAAGCTAAGGAACCTTTTAGCATCTTTGACATTTTACCACAGTGAAAATAAGGTTTTCACACACTCCTGCATAACTGAACAAAAAAATAAACTTTTCCTACATTTCACTCCTCTTCCTCTCCGTCTGACTGCACACACACACACACACACACACACACACACACACACACACACACACACACCCTAATATTCCACCTTGTCCTCAATCCAGTGATGCTGAAAACTGAATTCGACCAACAGGAAGGGAGGACGAGCACCCGGAGGACAGAAAAACCACCGGAGAGGGAGAAGCACTTTAAAACTCCTCCAAGAAGCCTTTGATATGCAAAGAGCCTCTCTTTGAAATGACTGTCCTGACAGGCTTTCATTGTACCAGAAACAAAGAAGTGGCACTTTTCAGAAATAACATTGCTCTGACTCCAAACACACGGTTGCATCAACCGCTATAAGCTCCTGACAGGCCGGCGGCGGAGGAGGAGCCACACGTATCTTCACAAATACGCTGGAGGTAGCTCAGAGTTCACTGCTCATAGCTGCAGGAGGTAAAACAACTGTGGCATATTTGTCACAAGCTGAGAGTGAAGCTAGATGGGAAATATCGCTTTATCCTCTAACATTGGAATGATATAAAGACATGAGACAGATTAACTTAATGGGCAAATTAAATTATTATTTTTCTCTGTTTAGTATCGTAGCAAATTATTATTGGACAACATAAGCAACATGAGAAAAAGCACTTTTTCGTCTGAACTTGCCAATATTCATAATATTTTACAGACAACTGATGATTAACCTTTTATTTATACTACCCTACTGTTAACTGGATTTAATGTGGCTGTTTTCAACAGTAAAAACCCTTTTCTGTCAAAATGATTGGCACTCTATCATCAAAACAATCTTCTGTCAAAATATGGTCAGAAAAGTGTACTGCCAATTTTTGTTATTGTAATAATGCAGTAAGTACAGATGACTGAATGTATTTAGTGGTTGGTCACCATATCTCACAATCTGGTTGTACTTAACTTGATAAAGAGGGCTGATATGAAAGAAATTATGCTTCTTCCAATATTCCCTCAAAAGCATAAATTACATTCTTCAAGTCTCCAACTTGAATGAATTTAAAGGGTCTCATTCAGTTTTCATCGTCATTTGTAGGTACATGGGTATGTTTTCTGACTTCAAATGATCCAACGACTACTCCCCCAAATCTACGAATAATCAACAACTTCCTCACTCCTGTAGCTCCTGCTCCAATGAGTCTGAATGAACATCTCCAGTATCTCCACCCAGGGCTTTTAAAATGACCTGCAGACGTATTAAACATGAAATAAGAAGCCAATTGGTCCTACCAGCGAGAAGATGAGATGTGGCCTGAAGGAGAAGAGAGCAGCAGGTTGTAGAAAGTCACCGGTTGGTTCTGACAGAGGAACATCGAGTCCCGGCCAGGAGGCGTGTTTTTGGCGCAGGACGCAACAGCTCGTCCCCTCAAACCAATCTGGGGATGCAACTGTGGCCTGAATGTGCAGCTTTTGTGAAAGCTATTGTGCCTGATGACATATCTGTGAGTGAGCGAGTTGGGACAGCTCATACCGCCGTGTGCGAGTCTGTGTATGACTTGTGGCTGTGTGGGCTTGGGATCAACATTTTTCTGGAATGAAGCCCAGGAAAGTGAATAAATAAAGCTGACCCTGAGCCTGATCTGCTTCACGAAGAGCTGCACACTCTGAACTTAAGCAACAAGGGGGCGCCCCAATCCAGGTCAAGAAAACTGAAAAAGGAGTTACCGTAGTCTAGACAAGATAAAAAGCCCTGAATTATCATCTGCATCTTAATTTGGGCCTCAGATGGAAAGAAACAGTAACAAAGCAAACTGTTTTTACGTTGGTTGAGAGACAGTGCCTGGTCAAAAGTCATAGTTTGGATTCAACAAATAAAGATGAAGGCTTTCCTTCATATTGGGGACCAGATGGGCAGCTAAGGACTTTTCTCTGTTTTAAATAGCATTTAGGAAGTCACATTTTGAGGAGATAACAGACAATTCAGAGTTTTTTTTTGTTTGAGTAAATTTTCAAGCATGAATGCCAAACATTGTCTGGTTCAAGCTTTGTTTTTCTCGCTCTTCCTGTACATAATATTGAATATCTTTGGATTTCGGACTATTGGTTAAACAAAAAAAGCAATTTGAAGATGACACTGTGGGCTCAAGGAAAGTACGATGGGTAATTTGCTCTAATTTTTTTTATGTTTTATAGACTAAACGACTAATTTATTAATTTACAGATTAACTGAATATGAATATAACTGTTAGTTTGTGGCTGTCGTAGTAAAATACAGTATCATCTGTATAGTGGAGATAAGCCATACCTTTAAAACTAATAATCTCCCCAAAGGAACCTCATGTACGATGCAACAGAACCTTGGGGCACACCACAAGTCAAAGTTGTAGAGGAAGACACACAGTTTTTACTGTCTGCATGCTGGTTTATCAATGCTTTTACTGTAACTTCCTGTTCTGGGTCAATGCCAGACCCTGCAGGCCAAATGCAACACAAAATCAACACAAATATGAACAACATTTGCCTTAACGGAAAATGTTTTGTGATGTTTAGTACACTTTACAGTCCTCAAAGGTTTATCACCATCTTCTTTCTTTCTCTTTGGATGCTGTTGCATATGAGCACTAAATGAAAAACCTCAGTCCTGCTCTACTTTCTGCAAAATCAAGACAAAATCTCAGATAGAAAACCCAGAATGTCAACATGATGCCTCCGTAGGCTGATTTGTTGTCACGCAGACAAATGAAGAAGGGATGAAGAGGATGTTTAAATGGGCCACACAATCAGAAGCTCGTCATCCTCGCAAAACAGGCAGGCTGACACACGGTGACGTGTTACCACGGCAACACAGTCTCTCAGCACAAAGCCGTCCACTCATTCCCAGGAAAAAACAAAAAAGAAAAAAAGACAAAACAACTAACAAACAAGGCGAGACAACTGAGAAGATCCCATGCACTGAGAAAAAAACGTCCATCTTAAGAAAGCACTTCGTCCTGCAGTGAGGCTTCAAGTCTTATTTTCAACAAACAAAAGATGCCACAAAATCTGTCTACAGGTTAAGATTACTTTAATTTGGTTAAAGAATTTAACAAACAGCTAAAATATCCTGTTAGAAGAAGTGTGATTTTAATGCCATATTCCCTCCTAGAAAATTGTATTTGTTCACCCCGACGTTTGAATAAAAAGAAGTTTAATCCTCCACTGCAGAACACATTTGCTGTTAGGATGGACATTTTTTCACAGTGTGATAAAGTGCACAACATGACTTGGATCACAAGCAGCCATAGGACTTACGTTCTGCTTCCCCACAATGTTGTCAAAGGGAAGCTCTGGGCTCCAGGACGCCTCGTTGAAGGTGGTGCTGCTGGCCCGGCGGTCTACCGAGCTTGCCGCCTCCTTCATGATGTCCTCCGGCAGGGTGAGCAGACTCTCCTCCGGCTGCTTGATGAGGTATGTCTCGATGTTGTGGCGGCGGAGGAAGTCATTGCGGTCCTTCCCGTGCCCTTCCTCCACCTCGTAGTCGCCGTTCAAACAGTCCAAAGCAGCTTTGGAGATGTGGATCCTCCTGGAATGGGACAAGAAGAATAAAAAATAATGCTTTTAAGCTGCACTTTTTTTGGCCACTAGGGGGCAGAAGAACTCCACAACAAGCTTACTGACATATAGTTCTGACAAATTATCACCTGTTAAGGCTACATGTTAAGAAACAGTAAGGATGACAGACATATTTTACTCTTAGATGCATTGCAATTCTCACTTGAACAAGCCTGTAACAAAACAGTACTCAGCTGCAGACTAAACTGTCTCGACACGTTCCTTATGGCTAGACCAACTAGATGGGGAAATGTAACAGACGACAACAAAGTGACAAAGTGTCCAGTGGGTTGATCAGAGTTTGTTTGATGAAAACAGCTTTCAGCTGCTGGAAACACTGAGACTGAACCAGACAGGAAATGTGACGTACCACTAAATCCTCGGAGCTAAAAGATGCTAAAAAGCTTCATAAAGCTGCAGGGTTGGTGAGAATGTGTCAATACGAATGACTTCTTTCAGCCTTTTGATTCATTGTTAATCTGAAAATACTGAATAGTGCAGCTTGACTTAAAGAAAGACCTTTTTTTAACATTTACATAACAGCATGGTGGAAATTCAGTGTTTGTCCCTTGTGTTTCCCTCTTTCTCTCTCTTTGTCAGTGTGTGTGGTGTTTGCGTTGCACTCCCTCTCTCAATCTCCTGGATCTCCGCTCAACCAACACACCTGCCATCAATCAATCAACTCGGGCTCATCTCCCACTCTTTCCCAGATTGTTGTCTCAACTACTCCAGATTGCCTCACGTCTGCCTGCCGCCTGCCCGCTAACCCTTGTGCAACTTCAGGTTTAAACCACATCACTCACACTCGACCATCCAAGTCTGGCATCCACCATCACCCGTCTGACCTCTGCCCCTGCCTGCCATCTTTTACTCCCCACTCCATTCACCGTTATCCTACAACAAACCTTCCTAAATTCTCCTCATCCCTGTGTCTGCGTTCTGCACTTGGGTCCGGCTTGTAACTCTGCAACAATAACACAGATTTAAACTGTGATGCAGGGGTCTTATCACATCTATTGAACTGGGAAAATGTGTAGCCATATACTTTATCAAATGTCAAAATCCTATTTTCAGACTATACAGATGCCCTACAGGACATCTCAGAGTTTGATAGAACAACACACAATGACTCATCACAATTAAATCATATTATTCAGGGACTTTTTTGTAGAACCTTTCCAGTTTTTTCCTTATTTCAAGCAATTTGATGGACACTCTGGTAACTCTCCCAGTTCAATCCACAGAACAAATAATAAGCAACTGACAGATTTCTCTGAGGGCAGCTGCCAACATACAGCTGGATGATCAATGATGATGATGATGATCTGCCAGAGGTGTTCAGTTGGAAGGAGATCTGGTGACTTTGAAGGCCATAACATCATTTTCAAACTATTCAGTGAACTTTTGTGACCTGTGTGGGAGCATCTGCTTTTATGTTTCTGGCACAGACGGTATGATAGTTAGTGGATGGAGCTGAAGTGAAGTTAGTGCTTCAGTGTTTTTAACCTGCATTATATGTAATGACCAGCAGGGGCCGACTCCACTGGCTGCTTCTTGTCACTTGATTTATGAGCTCAGTAAACAGTTTCCTAATGAGTTTATGGTCTCAATTTCTAGTTTCAGTCTTCTTCCGTACAGCATGATGTTCATTTAGTAAATGATGCTCCCATTTAGAGGAAAATAGATGATAAAGCAGCTCCAATCAAGATAGAGGTGCAGTAATGCAAATCTGGTCACTGGATCCAAATAATCTGAAGGCTTAAAAAGGTAGTCCGCAAACCAATTGGTGACGTGACGGTGGGTTTATGCTTGGTTTCTACACTTGTTAATAAAGTTTTTCCTTAATTTATCAGCCATGTGCTCTCAGATGGGAGTCTTGGGCAGATTTAATTAGCAAAATCCTCCCCTGGAGTTATCAAATATACACCACGGATGGTCAGTTACAGAGTCTGCAGGTGTCCAGCAGCTGATCTGAGTGCCTGAGACACCTTCAGCCTCCAGAGAGGAGCAGTCAATCAGTGAGTACAGGTGTGAATGAAATCCTGCACAGTGTCAGGTCAGTGACTGAAGTTCAGGTCCAGTCTGTTCCAGCTCTTATTGTACACTGTCTGATGTGTCCAAGGCGTACATCACCAGACACTCAGAGATCTTCTGTCTGTAGCTCAGAAACAATGCAGAGAAACTGCTGCTTCATCCATTCATGTTACGCAACGGAGATCAGTAGATCACGGGTCGGGGTTAGAGCAGAGGCTGGCAGGATATTTTAAATCAGCAGTTAGAAAACTAATCCCGCCCTTGTCTCAAGGCCAAACAGGAACATGAGTGAAAATGCAGATACATTTTTTGTAGAAAAACATCAAAATATCCCATTACTGTGTATTAAACTGACAACAAACACAGGTTTCCACTGGATATTTCTCTTCAACCCCCCCGAAATGTCCATTTTGAAGAAATTATCTCAGTAAAAATGATAAAAATTATAAAGTTCTTGGTTAGAGTGTTTAAAATATGTATTTTTGTACAAGAGGCAAATGATGTTAAAAGATTCGGGCAGAATGACCTCTCTGTTACAGCTTCTATAACAAAAACATTCACAAACTGAGGAAGTATCACATTACTGCAATAAAACACAAAAAACATTTTTACAAATGCCCCAAAACTAAAACCAAACAGGCTTCTTCACATATTTTTATTTTAGTCATTCCAGATTTGTGACTGGGGGTGTCACCATGGCAACAACATCTGCTTTTTGCTTTCTCTCTAAACACGTTTCCTGTCCATCTCCACAACCAACAATCAAATTAAAGCAAACTGGTGGGCCCAGAGGCCATTTCCAGCCCTCCACACCCCTCCCTCCGGCCTCCGACGAGATGTCAGAAATAAAAATAATAATAAATAATTTTTATAATTGTTTCTTATGAATTAAAACTACCCCTTCATATAAAGGTAAATGCCGAAGGTCCCCACAGATGTGTGCAAACAGTTGGCCTTCATTTGTTGTTTGGCTGCGATCAACTAATATAATATAAAATTACGATAAAAATTTATAGAAACTGTAGTCATGGATGTTGCAGCAGCCCAAAGCCAATTTGACTTTGGAGACAACGGAATTAAAGGCAAAATACCCCCCAAAACATCTGAAATCTTTTCGGTTTACTCACCCTGGGATCCCGCCAGACTCCAGCTTGTTGGCGATGTCCACGTCCCAGGACCAGACATCGAACTGCCACTTCCTGAGTCCCAACACGCCGCACAGCACGGAGCCCGAGTGGATCCCAATCCGCATGTCGATGTCGTGTTTCGTACGTGATCTCACGTATCTGGAAGAAACACAACAAGAATTATATGTTCAGTTTATTTGTGTTCTCTTAAACAAAGGCTGCCTGAAAAATCCTAAAAACACAAAGCATTTATAAGCTCTGGACGTGGGAGAATATACCACCTGAGCTATAGCTTCATTATGATTGAAAATTCATCATAAATGAATAATAAATGGTATAAAACATGCAAAACACTGCTGCAGTCCTCTGCATTGAGTCTGACTAATAAAAGGGTATTATTCTGTAATTTAAATTCATCTTTAAATTGATAAAAGTAATGATGAATGAAGGTGAAAATAAATATTTAATGATGATAATGTATATTTTATCATATTATTAAAAATTTATATATATATATTTTTGCGCTATATTTTGTCTAAAATATTCCAATACTATAATCCAGCGTCTGTGTGCAAATGAATATACATTAAATTGACCTTTGGCGAGACAGAACACAGATAACAACGACAGACAAACACAATACACGTCACGCGTATCAGTGAAGAAGGTGAAAAACATTTTCGGCGGACTTTTCACACCCGTTAATAAATTTGTTTCTCATTTCATACTTTATTATCCCTGAACACAATAAAAAGCAGGACAAACTGAGGCTGATAAATCCTGTGAAGAGCAGACGGGGCTGTCACGCCCATCCCTGCCTCCCGGTCTCATTTCATGCTTCATAACAGCAGTGATGAATGTGAGGTGAAAGGCATTCTGGGAGTTTGTGACAGGTGCTTAAAGTCAGTAGACTGCTGAACGACACCCGGGGGGGGCTGGAAATGAACTCAAACAAACTGCAGTTATTCATGACGATGATGATGTGATACTTGAATGACTCTGAAGGGAAACTCTTCATCACCTGGAGGTCAGAGGTCAGCTAGTGATACCAGATCTTCAGTAGTCGATAAACCCTTGACAGTATATATAAGGTTCAGAGCTTCTGGGTCTGTACAGTGTCTTATATCTGTATTCTATGTAATGGCCAGCAGGGGGTGGCTCCATTGGCTGCAGTGACACACCGATACCATGCAGGCTCATGGAGAAATGAGAGGACTTCTCACTTGATTGATTAGCTCAGTAAACTGGCTCCAACAAACTGTCATGGTGACGACCATAACACCAAACTTGAGGGTTCTTCCCGACCTGGCAGGTTCAAAAACGTATTCAAACTTGTATTGACACAGTTTACTGTAAGTCTACAGTCATGCTAGCAGCTCTGTGAGGCTGTGTTGAGCTTAATGCTAACATGCTTTTTGCATGCATTTCTGTTTGTATGCATCTTTATTATGGATCATGAATCATGTGTAAAAAAAAAGCTATTATTCATCATAAACCCCGCTCAGTCCGCACGTGGAATCACCATTACTCATTTGTGTGTTTTGTAGTCAGCATGCTGGAAGCCACAGTCAGTCCTCTGTGAGGCAACAACAAACAAATCTGACGAGCCTTACACCAACAGTACAGTATGTCTCAGCTGCTTTATACTCATGTTTGACCTCAGGGACTTTAATATGCATTGATGGTGTTGATAAATGAGGCACTAGAACTCTTTGTTAGGTGTTTGTGCGCAGTCGTAATTAGCCCACCCCTTTCAAACATGAACATCATCATCAAAAGAATAAAGAACTGATGAATAAAGACTACAGCCAGTAAATTCAAGTTATTAAATTGGCACACAGACAGCTATTAACCTGCAAGACACACGAGTAGAGATGATATTACGTAAAAATGAAACAGTCAGTCTGAGCTCTGGGTCACTGGCACTGAAGTGTTTGGTGAAGCAGACAATCTACAGCTCTGATGGGCACAGAGACTGACCGACCCTCAACCCGTCTGATTTGATCTGAGCAGAATCAACTCTGTCCAGGGAGCCGAGAGACAACGAAACCTGCACCGACGTATGATGAGACCAAACCAGAACACCTCTTACTAATCAAAAACACGTTTTATTTAAAGATTTCTGGTAGTGGCCGACGGATGGCTGACATACAGCGCCGATATCAAAACAAAGATTCTGTTCTATTCTACAGGAAATCCAGGAATATGTTTACAGCAGGATTTATGAGAGTTACAGTACCGGGCTCCAGACCAACTTTATCACCACCTACTCAAAACTCACCAGAGGAAACATCCATACGGGGTGATTGGACGAATATATCTGTCACAACTAGGACACTCAGTATTGGACCCAAATGCACAACAGCACAGGAATCAGGATGAATTTGGTGATTTCATATAATAACGCACTTACAGACTGAAAGCTCCAAGAAACGCAAAAGCAAAACAATCCAACAAGGAAGCACAGAGGAAAAGCAACCATAGACAAAGCAACCAGGAACAAAACCAAAATGAACTGAAATAAAGGAACACAAAGAATACACAGGTGAAAATAATCAGATAATCAAAATTAGAGGAAAAACAGACAAAGACAGGAAGTAGATTCCAATTTATTTTGCTAATTTAACGGTTAACCTCTGAAGAATGAGACATTCAGTGTATTTTCACATCTTACTTCTGTGAATTAAAGGTTGATTTCCACCAGACAGACAAGACTCTAAGTCCTGGAAAGATGAGGACACAACAGGGACAGGAGAGGGATGAAGAAGACATCCAGAGTTGGTGATTGTTGGATCAATGTAAAGACTAATAAACAGGCCCAACACACACACACAGGCTCATACATCTGCAATCGTTGATTCGTGGACTGAAAGTGGAAAATTGTGTGTTTTAATATCTGATGTCTCACTGACGTGGCTTCATTTTGTGCTTTTAATGTCAGTCAGACACCTCTTTCTTTTCACTTCTTCCGTTTGGGCACATATAAAGTTGCACTCTTGCAGCACAAAGTGGTCGTCTGCAGGCTGCTCACCATATTGACTTAACAGTATACAGCACAAATCTCGCAGCTTATCCGCCACTAATCCCTCTTTCTCCTCTAAACATCAGTCATCCTCTCCTCCCTCGCTGCCACGCTCGAGAGTGATGCGACGGGGCCCAAAAATGTTACAGCGACAAAGCAGATAATGGAAATGAAAATGCCTCGGGCTTTAAGAGCACAAACTCCGGGGTGTGTGAGTCTTTTCAGCAGTAACTGTTGAGCGGCTGTATGTGTGTGATTGCAGACTTTATTTCCGCTGCATTTTTACATTTATATGAACTGCAGATTACACAGTCAGCTGCGTGTCGCGATGTGTGATTTTATGAGATCTGTAAATCCCTGTTGTGTGATTAAAAAATAAAATTATACCATCACTGGCTATGTTTCGATTTTCTCTCCCGTCTCAGTAATGCACGGTTGTGTGATACGGTTCAACCCTGTAATTGTGTCATTATTTGTCACTGATGTTCTGTTGAAACACAACTAGGGGCTTCTTGCAAATGCAAATATTGAAGAAAAGATCAGATTCAGATCAGAGACCTGGCGAAACCGAGGGCTGTGAGGAACGAGATAAAATAAATGTGGAGATAACATCGCTGCTGGCCAATGCCTCGGGGGGGCTTCTCTAATTCAACATTTGCAGGAAAGAGCTGCAGTGGAAGTAAAAGTGATAAATCTGTGCTTCAAAAATAAACTAAAAAGCCCCATATTTCATGCACTGGTTGAGTAAGGAGGATTATTAGACACACTCAAGTGCCTCCAAACTGCACTGAGAGCCGTGTTAAGCCTCTGAAACACATGTTTTGATGTTATATATTAAAACTCGCACACATTCTGCTCACATTCAACTTATTGCAGTTGATTCTGAACACACACACACACACACACACACACACACACACACACATACTGCTGGGGTGACTCCAGTGACGGCAGCAGTACCAGTTCAATCACAGATAAACGTCCTTAAAGTGACATTCATTCTTCAGTATCAACAGTAATCCACAACATCCTCGGTTACACTGTAAACACTGACAGCGAATGCACACACTGTAAATCCCAGTAAACTAACATAACTTAATCCTCCACTTGTTCCTGTTAATTAAACCCAGCTTGAAAATGAAGTTAAATGTGTGCAGTTTTTAAATTACTGCTGATTTAATTCCAGTTTGTTCCATTGACTCATTTCCTTTAAGTTGACTTTATATTGGTACAAAAATAAAAGCCCCAAAATTAATTGGCTAGTATTTTGATAATTAATATAAATACGTTTGGAGAAATGCTGAATATGAGTTTAATATAGTCACTAGTTTAATAGTTTGTTTTTAAGTTACTTTTTCTGTGAAATAATAGTAAAATAATAAAATCCACCTGAACCACATTGTTAAGGTTTCTGGGGAGGTGAAAGGTGCCCCGCATTCCTGACACACTCTCATATTTCCCACACCAACTCGACAAAATGTCAACTTTCTGACTGTTTTGTAATTGTTTCATGTTCTTATCACATAATGTAAAATTAATTAATTCATAAAAAAAGGAATAATTTTTGTGTTTTAGTACTTTTGTTTGTGCCTTCTTGTTTAGTTTGTGCCTCTAACTGCAAGTTTTACCATCCAGGATAATAAGATAACATTTGTCAAAACACTTGTATAGATCGACCAGAGTTTCCATCCCTCTGGTTCAAAATGATGCTAATGATAAGAAACAGGATGGAAGAAGTCAGTACCTGATGGTTTTGATCATGCTGAGGCCCATCTCCACACAGCAGTGGGCGTGGTCCTGCCTGGGCTCGGGCAGACCAGACACGCAGTAGTAACAGTCTCCCAGGATCTTTATTCGTAGACAGTGGTGCTCCTGCAACAGCCAACCGCACCAGTTTATATCAGCGAGTGCTACACAACACGATGCATTCATTCAACCTCACGACAGAAGAGCCGGAGCAGTAAAATACAGCTAATGCGGCATTAACTGTGAAACCCTGACCGGCCGAGCGTGACGGTCTGAGACGCTCTTCAATCTAATATCAGACAGACAGACAGAGCGAACCCCCAATCGGTTATTCACTCTGTTGTTTTGGATGAAATATTTATCTGCCTGCTGGAGTTGCTTTATTTCGCTTTTATGAGGCTGTCACAGAAAACACAACCAGGCAGCCGAGACATCGACATGACTTCTGATTATTCACATTTTGCTTCCCGTGTTCCCAGCCCTGAAGATGATCTCTGCATCTTTTAACCACCTGATGTCTGCAGAAGAACAGATCCTTCATGTTGTAACTTTAAAGGCGCATTCAAAAGCCTTTAGGTTTGGATAGTTGCTGTTTTTTTTTTCCTTTATAAAACAAAGGTGTTTGACCCTTTAATCCAACTCTCTCCAGCTGATTTCACCAGAACAGGATTGGTGATTAAAGAGCTCATAAAAATGTCTGTTTCCTGGAATATACACAACCCTAAGTCCCGTCCCTTATGGCTCTGTGCTCCAATAACAGTTGAGCAAGCCTTGGTCAACTTCCTCCTTTCCTGTACTTAGATATGCTATGTGCTACGCTAACCTATGTAGAAAATACAATAACTTAAAGATAAAAGTGACATATAGTCACATAGACAGACTACTGGATAACTTCAGTATGAGGACGTGATGGTTCGTCCGTAAGATAAAACAAATACTGAAAAGTTACATTTTGGGGGGAAAAAACAAACCCTTTAACAATAATGAACAATACTCAAACTGAACATTAGGGTTAAAATAACACATAGATGCATCGGGGGTCCACTTACGTGTGCGAGACGATCGAAGCGTGCAAAGAGTTCATTCAACATTCGCACCAGCTCCTGCGCTGACAGCGTCGTGGAGAGGTTGGTGAAGCCTTTAACATCTGCGAAAAGAATGCTGAATAAAATACGGAAATGTCACTTTAATATCCAGGTCAGTTTCTTTCACACCATCCAAATAATCATATTTAATGCATTTTAAACTTTATAATTTCACACAAAGATACGTTAAACTCCCCCTTTCTAACAAGTCTTAATCAGCCAGTACCAGTATGTCTGAGAGCTTTTAAAGATCACTGATCAGAAACTTATCTTCAGGCCTCAGACTGACTGAAACTTACAGTTCGACTCCATGCGGCTTTAGACCAGTTTCAGAACGGGAGCGTTTTTTCGCACCTGATTTTGTTGCTTACTTGCTTAGATTTAGATGATTTGGTCATTTTTCCTCGTCTTGTTTCCATTAAAGCTTCCACAAACATGCTGCCACCCCTGACCCACCCCCCTGACACCCATTATGCTACTGCTGAAGACACTTCACTCCAAAAAGGTTAATAAATCAATCACTACCTTTACAACCAGAACTGGCGGCCTCACCTGACATTCTCATAGCGGTGGATGTAGATTCTGTGAAACTGATGCTGGAGGTGTTCGTCCTCTACATTTGTCATGTCGTTGATCATTTCCAAAACTACAAAACGTGGCAGGACTGATAACACCAGTCTCTCCTGTGGGGGAGAAACAAACAATCATATTAGTGCTAATAAAAAAGATATATTATTATATATATATATGTTGGTGAGATGAAAAACTTGTTACATTTACATTTACATACATATATCAAGTTTTTTTTAGTGTTCTACAGTGAACTTAATAAGATTAGGAGCAAAGAGAGCAACTGAGTATTAAGCCGGGCAGACACAAATCTTGTAAAAACAAATTACATAAAGGTCTGTCTGTAAGAAATGATTTAAAAGATGACTCTGAGTCCGCCAGCCTAAGCTGCTCGAGCAGGATCCTGCAAAGCCTCCGGGCCGGCAGAAACGACCAAACAACCGAGTTTGTCTCGTGCTTTTTGTACTGACGCGGTGCCACTTGGCGAAAGCAGAGACAGATTTGGAGTGGGAGCCATGCAGCGTCCCTCAGTGTTTTTTTTGGCCTCAGGGATCTGCGCCAGCGCCAAGCAACTGCCTCCTTCAGATATTGAATACATTAAAATACCAACTTTCTCTACCCAGAAGTCCCTGCAAATGCCAGCTGGTCTCTGGTGCTGTACACTAATGAGAATGACGGAGGGACGCGTCTAATAACTGCAACGGCTCTCAACTCGTAGGTGTTCAGTCCTGAAACTTTATTGGTTGTGAACAACCTGCAAACAGCTTCAACATGCTTCATGTATTCATTTGGATGAAACTGTATTTCTGCTGCAATCTGCTCGTCCGCAAAAGAAACCCAACCTTCTCTCTCTGTGTTAAAGATTCTGATCCCTAAACTCACAATATCTGATGATACCGAGTACTGATGTAACACCAGTGTGATTGGTAGACTTTACACTGTGGTGGCAATGGAAAAACTGGAAATCCCGTTTTCAAAGGGATCCCTTGACCTCTGACCTCGAGATGTCAGAATGAAAATGGCTTATGCTAATGCTAATCCCATGCAGTTTTTTGCACGTGGTATACATGTGTTATCTTAGTGTGTGTGAATATTTCTGCAGTCTGGGCTCTCTAAACAGTGTTGGAATTGCATGAATTGGGAATGTAAGAGGCTGAGACACATACTTCATGCCACCCCTAAATAAGTCAGAGCCCCTCTTGAGCCACCACAGTCCAAAAAGTCTAGAAACGCCTCCTGACTGCATCAACTATAGAACAAACGCTGAGTTTTCATGATGATACTGAGAAAGTCAGAAGGGTTGCAGCAGAATGGATACAATATCACAAAACGTATATCAAATAATAACATAAAAAATTGAGAATAATGACTTTCTGATAATAAATCAAGATATTGAGCTTTCTCAATATTTTGATTTACTATCAGAAAGTCATTATTTTGAGATGCTAAGTCAAAGCTACAATGATTTTTTATTCTGTAAATAAAAATACAATAAAAATCATAATTGTGTGACCACAATGAGCTCTATGTGCCACAACAGCTTGTATAGAAACACATATTTGTATGTTGATGTGAATATCGCTGTGTGCAGTTTTCAGACTGCAGTTTTCCAGTAAAATAATAAATAAACGTGCAACCTCCTGTGAACTCAGTGAGGCTGCATGACACTGTCTGAGAGCTCTGGAGAGCCTCTTCAAACCTCCAGCACGAGTGGAGGGAGAGGGAGAGGCTGGGCGAGAGAGGGAAGGAGAGAGTGTAAGAGAGAGAGGGGAGAGAGGGTGAGAGACAGAGAGGAAACCAGAGACAGAGAGAGAGAGCTCCATTCACTGTTAGCTAAAACAAACACACATCTATCCTCATTCATTACTGACACACTGAATGAAAAAACATCAGTGATGCTGTTTCATGTCTAACACACACACACACACACACGGGGGACAGAGAGAGAGAGAGAGAGAGTTAGGTGAATGGGCCAGAAAGGAGAAGAAAACCAAATACTGTAATGATAAAATTGAATGTATAAATAATTATATTAATTTATATTAATATATAGTTATAGTGAGTGCAATAATAGTACAAATATAGAACTGATACATAAATATTTATCTGGGGTTCCCAACTGGGCCACAGCCGGTCCACAGAACCAGCACGGGGGGCGGGAGGCGGAACAAAAAAGTCAGAGTTTTAATTATAGAGTTAATTTCATTGTTTATATATGTGTAATATTCCAGATGTTGGAATAATACATTTTTTGCTTTTTCTTTTTACAGTGCTGCTCTCAGCCCGGCGCTGCTGCGTCGACCCGGTCGGTATCTGTGCCAGAGAGCAGAGCAGCCCCCAAATTAAGGTCCAGACAGACAAACAGTCCAGTGGAGCGTTGCTAATACTTTGGCTGCTGCATCACAACTGAGCGCTCCGGGGGGGTTTGGTGTCGGAGATTCACTGCAAGAAATGTTGACTTCACAGAGTTTTCTTGAATTCAGACTGAAAGTTTGAACCTCTGAGGAGCTGAAATGTTCCTGCGCTGCTCCACAGAGTCACCTGTCAATCACACTGTGTTTACTTGGGATTCCTCTAATAATAATCTCGTTAAGATCTTTGTTCGAACTGAAAATCTTCATGCATAAAAAGACTTCCACAATCCATTTAAATGAATGAATAATACTTTTTTTCTTTTGTTGACAACAGAAAAATGTTGAAAAGATGTTTATTAGTTTCCAGAAAGATCTAACTTCTCCTGTTTAACCTGGTAATTAGGGTGCAGATCAATTATCAGCCGAGGTAAGAAAGTCTCATTCAGATACACACATCAGATACAGATGTTTCTGGACTCTGGAAATGAGACTCAACAATTAACTTCAATCTTCAAGCTTCCACCCAAAAGCGTCTTTCTATCTTTCTCGGCTCTGATTGGTTGTTTTCTTTCGTCATTAGGAGCTCTAGGAGGAGCCAGAGGAACCGTTTTTTTTCACAGATTATCTGTCTCAGGTGCTACTGTCAGGATACAGTGGAAGTTTCAGCAAAAAAACCCCAAAAAGTTAGCTCCTGCAGCTTTAAGAAATCAGCGATTATTTCCAGGATATTTGGTCATTCTAATCATTTTCCAGGCTAGAAACTAGTCTCTAAACTTTGCATGGGAACCCTGATTTAGGTTTATATTTGGTAATTATATTATCACTTGATGATAATGAAGCTCTTTTAAACTCTGGAACTGAGAATTTTCCTCACCATAACTTGAATTTTCAAGAAATATCTGAAAAAGAGAACCTCCTGAAATACGATACTTAATCAATATTTAAAGTGAAACTCATCTCGTGTGTGTTCTCCTTCAGTCACTGACATTTCTTGCAGTGTGGGCAGTTAACGGGGGCTGTAGTGTGCGTTTGCTCCACTGGACACGGTCTCTGGTTTGGACAGCTGAGAGCCAGCGGACTCAGTGTCGGATTAGCTTTGAAAGTCATTAGCACAGCTTGATTTTAGCCGAGAGCTGAAGCCCTCCAGCGGCTCGCTGACAACCTCTATCTTCATATCTCGTTCGGATTGCGTTAAAGGTTCACCAGAAAACGCTTTGTTCCCTCGCCCTGTGTTTATTGTCGCCTGTGGTGGGTTTTCGGTTCAAAAGGCAACAATGAAAGATCCAATTTAATGTCAGCATCTGAAGTTGAGTCATATTCATAATCTGTGCTTCTGCACCGAACCATAAGGGGATTATTCCAAAACAGTAAAGATCTGTTTCTTTAAAGACTTAAAAGTTGCATAATTGCCCCCAAGAATGTCTCTTTCATATTCACATTTTGGGCCTTTAGATGATACTCTCAGAGGTTGCTGCTGTTCTACACAATGAGGCTTTTCAGGAACAGGATTTTTCTGAACTTAAAGCGTAGCTCAAAGTCATAAACGTCTTTTCATAAAGATAAATGAGCAGAAGAATTGATTCCAGCAGGATGAGTTACTGAAGTTGTTTCACACAGTTTTGCCTCATCTGCTCCAGGGGACTTCAGGCCTTTGTCCTTTATATATTATTATATATATAATATTTAGTGAAAAGCACTTCATCAGGAATGTTTCTTTAGTTTACAAAATTGAGTTTGTGCTACTTAAATTTTTTAATGTTATCCATTTAAAAAGATATTTTAGTTAAAATTACTCATTACAGTGTAGTCCCTCCCATTCTACCTGTGAAAGACAAAACACTTTGGCTGCAAAAACTAGTGTATGATGTAGAACCAGTGTTTGGTTTGTGGCTCATTCTAAGGTAATAAAAACACATTCATTCTTATATTCAGGCGATTATACACTAATGAAAACATACCTTTGAATATTATATTCCATTTCTGCCAATAGATCCTCCTCTGTGTTACACACTGGAGCTTTAAATGTTTACCCTTTCCTGCCCACATCCTGCCTTCGTATCACATTCACATTATAAAGAAACAGAGAGAGAAGGAGTCAGAAGGAGACAGAACATGGCTCTGTGTTCTTACAGCCTGTTGACAGAAATACGAGGCCCTGATTGGCTCACATTAAGGTGGTCTGCCCGGGGCAGGGCCCCATCTCGCTCCATTACAACCATCCCAGAGCTTATCAGAGCCGAACCCTTCCAGGAAACACGATGCCGTAAAAGCTTTCTGTGGCTTCTCGGAGCGCGGCTGTCTACTCCACTGTGTAAACAGAGCTCGCCATGTGTCACTGTGCGTGTCCGTGTGTATACATCAATGAGTGTTGTTTCTATTTGAGTATGTGTGCGTGTGTGTTGCCTTGTTAGGCAGCGTTTGAAGCTGTGTGTGTGTGTGTGTGTGTGTGCAGTGATGCACAGTTTGCGTGACAGCAATGGATCGATGCAGCGTCCATGTTATTCTCTTCTCAGCGGGCTCATTAGTCGAGCTGCTAACGTTCGGGTCCTGTCAACTGAAATCCATCAATCGCTTTGCTTCTTTTATCAAACTCTGCTCACACTGAGCTCCATCACTGAACAACAGGACGTAAAAACACATTGTTCTGTTTGTGCACTGTTGGTTTTTGGGCTGCCAGTGCTTACTGAAGGTTACTAGAGGTCAATATCTCTTAAAGTGTTAAGTGGCTAGAGATCAAATTTAGGTCTAAGCCCAAGTTAGTGAGATCAAAACTCCAGTTCATCCATCACGGAACCAGGAAACCAACTGTTATATCAACAGCTGTGTGTGCACGCTTACATGCTTTCAATGATAGTGCTGATGTTGATGTAAAGCACATATAATGTTTATTCTGTTTCTGACCCGATTTTAACCCACACGATTAATTTTAGAGTCCCGACCAAACGTCAGCTGTACAGGAGGGAACAAGGACCGATCAGCTGCTCCCGAACAGCCATTGTTGCAGGTCTCTTCCTACCAAACAAACTTCTATCTTCAGAGCTTACAAACAAAACTTTATTGATGATTGTCAGCAGCACGAACAGGAGAGACTTTGAACATCTGTAGTGAATTTCGTGGCAATCAATCCAACCTCCGATAAGAAAGTCAGTAGAATTCATCCTCCAAACTTTCATGGCAATCCAACCAATAGCTGTCTCCTTTCAGTCTGTACAATAAACGCTCTAAAGGTGCTTTCAGCCTCCATTGTTTAAGTGTAAATACTGCGGCAGCTCCCGTTAACACACAGCAAACGTAGAAAAATCTCACCTGTCTCTGGTTCTCCGTCTCGAGTCGCAGCCGTGCCTCGATGCATCGCCGCGTCTCCAGGAAGGCCTGGCGCTGAGCCCGATCGGACAGGTAACTGATGAATATCCCAGCAGTGTTCATACACATGAACAGCACAGCCTGAGCCGCTACCTGATAACAGACAGACAGACAGACAGAGGGTGAGAGCACAGCTCGGTTTGAGGAATTTCGATTCACACAGCAGCGACATAACTCACCAGCAGCTTATTACTGAACAGAGATTTAGTGACTTGTCAAACCACCAGCTTCCAGTCGTGGTCGTAAAACATTTCCTTAAGAATGCGTTTGCGTTACTTCCAAATCACCAAAATACTTTAAAAGACTTTAGAAACCTTATTTTGGTCATGTGCAGGTCAAAAGGAGTCTAATCATCCAGATTATGTTACTATGTTGGTTTTTTTTCCAGCATTTTATGTTTTTATTAGAGAGTTTTACAGTTTAGAGATTGCAAATGATGGGGCAGAAAAATCCCCCGACTGGACCCGATACGGCCCAACAGGTTTGGACCCAAAACTGCTCCTGTCGGACTGAATTAGATTAGCATTCAGCAGTAACTAATGAGTGAACCTGTTATTTAGTTGTTTTTAAGCTTGTAATAAACCTTAAATTATTTATTTTGAGCAGCAATTCGGGGTCAGGTCTGATTTTTTTGGGCCTGATTAAGGCTTTAACGTTCAGTGCCTTTGGGACGTATGGACCAACTTGAGTTTTAAAGTGTTAATAAAGTTAAATTCTGTTTTATTTCTGCTGAATGCACAACAAACTGAACAGAGCTAAAACGGAGTCTGTATGAATGTGTAACTGCAGCGCAGGAAAGGGGTTTTCAGAGTCTGACACTGTGAGTCCCCTCCAGACAAAACTGAAACAACACCCAACACCTCCTGGGCAAAGCTACAAATGGACTCTTTTTGTTTATATGTCCACAGGTTTCCAACACACAGTGAATGTGTGAATGGATGGAGGAGAGTGTGGCCATGGCCGCTGGAGGTAGGGGTCCTGAGGGGGCTGCAGCACCCCCTAAAATCTGGCCAAATAATCCTTTCTTACTGGGATTTATATGTACATGCTGGTATTAATGTCAGCAAAGTGGTTTTATCTCATTTTTTATCAAATTTATCCGCTGAAAAGTTCTACAATCTGTGTCAAATGTTGTTAATAACTATTCAATTGACTATAAATTATCCTGGCCATTCAAATGAATAGCTGATTCCTCTCTGCAGGTACAAATGGTGTGAGGGGGAGTTTGTTTCACTAAAATTCAACTCAATATAAATGAGTCCTTTAATAATGAATTAGGCTGAGTTGAGTCGCATCCCTGTGGAGGCTGGAAACAACCATAACTGAATACTGCATGAAGAGTACATCTATCCGCCTCATGATCTCATCTCATGATCATTAAGATGTACAGACTCACTTAAATAAAACACAACATCCTGGGGCTCTGTGACGTGTGTTATCTGACGAGTCCTTGCGGCGCTGCAGACTTCATTTATGTTTGTAGTCATATCATGTAAGCATTATACAGCAGTTTGTAGCTTGACAGCCGGATAAAGAGTCCCCTGTTTAATGTGTTTGCAGATGAGCCGCTCCGTTTATCCACAGATGATCTGTTGACTCTTTTACAGCATCATGCCTCTTCGGACTGTGTGATTAACATGCCCAGGACCAACAGTGACCTGGCTGACTGGATGGTCTTCTAGGCCGGGGACCCTGTCATGAGTAATTATCAGAGTCCTGTATCACTTCTGAGGCATTTGACAAAACACATCAGTCTGACGTGGACATGAAGTGATGATGAGGGGAAGTCCTGCAAACTGCTGCCAGATGTATGATATATCTCAGTCTGCGGCGACCTGAAGCAGCTTCTGCAAAGTAGTTTAGAGCAAAAAATGGGGGAATTAAGAGACGCTGCAGGTCAATCTGCGTCTCAAAGCTTCAGATTGTGCAGTGGTTGGTGGTCTGTGGTGAATTAATAGAGTAAATTCTCTGCTGTTGATGAAAGCACATCAAGAACAGAAGCCTAATTTTCCCAAGAGATCCCACATGCTTCTCAAACTTTTTCGCCATCTGAAAGATCTGACTGCTCAAACTGAAACAACCTCAGCAAAAACTCTGAACAGGCACAGAACCTGTAGGTACATAGCTTATAACTAAATAATAAAAGTGTGTCAAGACGAGATTAAAAATTTACGTCAGAGGCGAGTCTAGCATCGCTGATTTCTACTGCCGTCACAACTCAGTGAGCCAAGACATCCGCTGAAAAGGGACGAGAACATCTGAAACCGGAGCAGACGAGAGACAAAAGAATAAACCAGGTCACTGATCATCATCGGGAGGAGTGAACACTGAAACTGCACGGCTAGAGCCATGAGGTTACATGTCTGAATTCATTAAGACTGCACAAGAAGAATCCATTCGTGTGTCTGTAGTTTCTAGTTCGGCCAGAGTACTAGAATGAATGTATGTCGACAGTTTAACAGTTACATATATATATATATGAGATTTTAATCACTCCCTCTGCCTGTGTTGGTATCGCAGCCTCTCTGTGGTTTGTTTGGTGAATTAAGGATTTAGTTGGTGATTGTTGGAAACACTAACAGAGACGGTTTTAATTAGTTTTATTCTGTTTCTGTCCACTTTCAATAAAGTTACGATGATCTGAAGGTAAAATGAGTGTTTTTGTCTCTGGAGTCTGGTGGAGAGTGATAGTGATATTACGGCTGTTTGTGGTTAAACTAAAGGTCTATCTCTGTAGGGATCCTTTCCATAATGCTGTCAGACACTGACAATAACAACCTGAGTCTGTCAGTGGCAGAAACTACTACTGTTAGTGGAACAAACAACAACTACTGTTAGTGGAACAAACAACAACTACTGTTAGTGGAAAAAACAACTACTGTTAGTGGAACAAACAACAACTACTGTTAGTGGAACAAACAACAACTACTGTTAGTGGAACAAACAACTACTGTTAGTAGAACAAACAACAACTACTGTTAGTGGAACAAACAACTACTGTTAGTAGAACAAACAACAACTACTGTTAGTGGAACAAACAACTACTGTTAGTGGAACAAACAACTACTGTTAGTGGAACAAACAACAACTACTGTTAGTGGAACAAACAACAACTACTGTTAGTGGAACAAACAACTACTGTTAGTAGAACAAACAACAACTACTGTTAGTGGAACAAACAACTACTGTTAGTGGAACAAACAACTACTGTTAGTGGAACAAACAACAACTACTGTTAGTGGAACAAACAACAACTACTGTTAGTGGAACAAACAACAACTACTGTTAGTGGAACAAACAACGACTACTGTTAGTGGAACAAACAACATACTGTTAGTGGAACAAACAACAACAACTGTTCGTGGAACAAACAACAACTGTTAGTGGAATAAACAACGACTACTGTTAGTGGAACAAACAACAACTGTTAGTGGAACAAACAACAACTACTGTTCGTGGAACAAACAACAACTACTGTTAGTGGAACAAACAACTACTGTTAGTGGAACAAACAACAACAACAACTGTTAGTGGACACACTTTGACAGGAGCTTTTGTACTCAAGGATTAACTGCGTGGCAGCCAAAGCAGCCTGTTGGGTGTTTGTTGGAAAGACTTGGTTCTGGACTACTGTCTGTTCCCAGAGTTAAAGTTAAGGATGGAGAAGCTGCCTTTATTTTGGAACAAACTGCCAGAAGATCTAAGATATGAAACTATATTCTGGGTGCGTGTGATTGTTTATTATTATTGTTGTTGTTATCGTTTGTTTTGTTTGTGGTTTTGCTCCTGGACTCTGTAAAGACTCTGCCTTGGGTATGAAATGTGCTATATAAATACATTTGCCTTGAAGTGTGTTTTACGATTAACTGCAAGCTAAAATTACGGGTTTTGTCAATGGAGTCTGGTTTGAGAATATCATACATATAACCTATTACGGGTTTTATAACTCCAGAGGTTATATCATATGAGTCAGGGTTTGTTACTAAGAGAGCCCACCTTCACATTAAACACATTTTATCCATTTTGAACTATAAATATTGATTAATGCGGCTTTAAAGTGTTAAAAATGCTGTTTATTTATGAGGTTCAACTAGGTTTCATTCATCAGCCTGTACCGCCGTCAGTGGATTTGTGGATCCAGGAAGCAGCTCTGTAACATCAGTGACTCAGAAAACACCTCCTTAATTATTTGAACGATGACCGCAGAAAGACTGAAGGTTTTCATCAGCCAGGATTCTGTAAAGTCGACCCGTTAAATCATCAGAAAGAGGAGCTGATGCAACAGTCTGCAACGTGACCGTCCTCCTCAGCTGCACGGGGGATTTCACCGCCGCCACCACCGCCACCGCAGCCCGGCCGGCTTCCTCCTTTACAATGACGCAACTGTTAAAACAGATTGACTCTCACTGCTTCACACACACACACACACACACACACAGTATGTATGGAGAGTAATTAGAGTCACAGACAGGTCTGGACAGGTCCTGAGCAGCTGGTTCCCAACCTTGACTAAACTTACATATATAGATATTTCATATGATATTCAGTGCATAACAACAACAGTACAGAACAACTAATAAACTGTGAACAGTGAACACAGTAACTGCAGGTGAATATTGACCAGAAATGAGATTTCCACTGTTGTCACTTTTTATACAATCCTCTGTATTATGATTTCATTTATTTTTTCTTCTCCCTTACACTTGCTCTATTTGTTCTTTTTACTTTTAAGTTTTTTATACACCCCTTAAAATCAAGAAGGCCTTCTGACCCCTCCATGAAGCTTTGGCGAACCCTGGTAGGGGTCCCGACCCCCAGGTTGGGAACCACTGATCTCTACTGTCTGTATCAAAAGGTCACTGAGGACAGTTTTTATTGGCCCACAATGAGCAGACTGTACAGTATCTGCAGGGGGCTGATAAGGTTGCCGATCGATAAGTCATCATTACCTGCCAGGTGAGGAGATTTCTGCCTTTTAAAACCTCTGACCTGAACAGACAAACCTTGATTACCAGACAACAACTGCACCAGGACACCAGAACTCCAGGGTCTGGGTCTCTGTTTGGGAGGAATATGCATAAATATTATAATAA